ACTCGTCCCTTGCTACATATCCCATCCCCCCTTTATGTGTATCTACCCCCCCATCACATATCTACCCCCCCATCACATATCTACCCCCCCATCACATTCTCCACTGTCCTGCTGTCTTTTACTATTGAGAAAACTGAAGTATTCAAAGGAAATTGATATTAAAATGAATTTACTGTTTCATTAGTTACTATTTTTGATAGATTTATTGTTGTATGTTGTTTTTCAGATGTCATAGATTGAGTCATTCGTCCTTGGTTGTGTGATTGTCATATTTGTTATGCATCCCCATCCTCTTCCCACCGCCCACCTTTCCAATTCTCATTTTTCCCACCCCTACACTCCTTCCTCTCTTCCACTTATTAATTATTTAAAAGTATCAAGTTATATTAATATTAAATATGAAGTCATTATTGATGACTATTGTTAATATGTTAATAGTTTACAACTGCAATATACTTATTTTTTTTGGAGGTTGTGAGTATATAATTGATCTGGACTGTGATTGATGTGTTCTTTATGCCCTCACATCTTAAAGTCACACCCAGCCCCACCTTTCCCATCCAATCCCATCTCACTTTCTCCACTCTCTTCTTTCTTTCCCTCCCCCACCTCCCCTCCCTTCCCCCCATTATACTATCCTCTTCACTCTAATCAATAAGCCTCAACTATTCTAAGTAATATTGAGACAAAAGATAAAAATTTATTATGTCACAGGAGAAACTATGATGTTTTTTTTATTCATGCTTGATAATGTATAATAATCCCAATCAGTTAAAATTCTGGGGTATTCTGGGTGTATCTTGATCCTGGGTTGTGCGATTGACATTTTCTTAACTATAACGACCCTCTCCTCAACTCACCCCATTCTTCATCTTCTCTCATTACTTCACTACTCCCCTCTACTCTCCTCAGTGTCCCTCCATCTCCACTCTATTCCATTTAATAGTGTTTTATGATTACCAATTCACTATTAATTGCTGGCCTCATTATATCTGCTAATATTTTGCAGCTGGAATACAGTTGATGATCCCTTGGGTGTTCCCAGCATGTAAGTGATAGTGAGTTATGTGATTGATATTCTTTATGCACCATCCCAAACCACACCCAACCCCAATCTCTCTTCTTCCCCTTTAATCTCCCTCATTCACCCTTTCCCCTGCCCCCAAATGTTCCCCTATCCTCCCTCCCTCTCCATTTATTTTGTATGGGGAGGGAGGAACACCACTGTCCGGCTCTGAGCTTATGGGGGTCAAAGGTCAACTTGTAGTCACTGGTCTTCTCCTTCCACCTCGTGAGTTCCAGAGATCCAATTCAGGTTGTCTGGCTTGGCAGCAAGGACCTTTATCAGCAGATCCATCTTACTGGCCCCCCAATTCCACTTAAATAAGTAAATCCTAATTATTTCAAATACTATTAGTACTGAGGTTTACTGTGTCTATGGACTATTATTTGGTGACTTTATTACTATGGATACTAATGTTTTGCATCTGGAACACATTAGTTGATTTCTTGGGTTATTCTGGGCATATCATTGCTACAGAGTTGTGTGTGCATGACTGATGTGTTCCCTGTATACCACCCCTCTGTTTATACACCACCCCTTCCTACTGGACTACTAACCCTACACCTTGACTCTTCCTTCAGTTCCTCCTCCCCCACCCCAATGAACAAATCTCAAGAACTCCAATCATATTGAATTACACCAGTGTTATGTCACTGGAGTTATCATTAATTGGTGGGTTTATATGTTAGCCTTTTGCAGCTAGAATATATTTATCTGCTGGGGTATTCTTTGTGTATTATTAGATCCTGTGATTGATGCATTCTTCATACAAAACCCCATCCCAAATTGATTCAACTTGTACCCCTCTTGCCCCCACTTCCCATCGCCCACTCTGCCTTGTGATCCTATTTGCCCACCCCCACCCCTGCCACTTGTAAATCTCAGCCCACCCCCCGCCACTTGTAAATCTCAGCCGTTCCAAGAAATACTAAGGTTGTTGTGTTCCTGTAATCACTATCAATTGCTTGCTTCCTTACATATGTATTTTATAAGTGGAATAAATTGGTTTCCTGTGGTAGTCTGGGAATATCATTGATAAGAGTCTATGTGATTGGTATGATGCGTTCCACCATGTAAACCTTAACCTTCCTGCTCCATCTTCCATTCTTCTTCCCTTTCATTCTCCCAGGTCCCTCCCTCTATGATATATTAATAAATCTCAAGTATTTCAAGTCATACATGCATACATGATTATGTCATTGGAGTTGCTGTGAGGTGATTACTTTATTTGGCTAATGTCACAGCTGGAATGAATTAGTTGATATCCTGGGGTATTCTGGGTATATCACTGATGATGAACTGTGTGACTGGTGTGTTGTTTATATGCCACCCCCATCCCCAACTTTTTCCCCAACCCCCATCCCCCACCCTGTCTTTTCCCATTTGACCCCTCCCCAACCCCTTCACTTCCTAGCTCCCACCTCTGTCACTTGGACCCATCCACCACTCCTCCCTCCATTCTTGATGATGGTGGGCGCTGAAATGATCAGGACACAATTTGCCTTAACCACTAAGTCTTTATTGAATTTTTATTGTAACATCAATACAGAGAAATATAGTAAAGCGATTACAGTAATATTGTGTGAGGGGTGGGATTGGGAAGGGGAAGGGAAGAAGGGGTGGGCTAGGGAGGGGAGGGGAGGGGAGGAGGGCTACTGACAGGGAAAGAACAAGCACTTTTATTCATCACATTCTTACAAGTTCCATGAATATTTATCATTCAGCATTACAAGTTTTATTCCAACAACAGATTCAATGATACCTATCATCTGGTAACTCTCAAGATGTTACTCACAATCTACCCCTGGAGTTAATTCCTATGGCTTTGAACTTTCACTAGAATGTTATCCATGTCCAATTCACTTACAAATGTTGATTTCCCTGTAGTTCCCTCTGAGCAGAATCTTAAAGGTATAATTGTAGGGAGGGGTAAGAGTGACAAATAAGTACACGTGTCCACTTGTTGTTGTATCTTATCCTATCTTATCTTATCCTATCTTATCTTATCCTAACTTATCCTAACTTATCTTATCCTAACTTATCCTAACTTATCTTATCCTAACTTATCCTAACTTA